AAAGCAATGCTAGAGGCATCACAGTACCAGACTTCAAATTATACTACAGAGCTATAATAACAAAAACTGCATGATACTGTCATAAAAATAGACCCACAGACCAATGGTACCAAATAGAAGATTCAGAGGAAAACCCACATAAATATAGTCATCTGATTCTTGACAAAGGTGGCAAAAACATATGTTGGAGAAAATATAGCTTTTTTTTTTTTTTTTGGTACTGGGAATTGAACTCAGGGGCACTCAACCACTAAGCCACATCCCCAGCCCTGTTTTGTATTTTATTTAGAGACACGGTCTCACTGAGTTGCTTAGCACCTTGCCTTTGCTGTGGTTGGCTTTGAATTCGCGATCTTTGTGTCTCAGCCTCTGAAACTGCTGATTACAGGCATGCACCCTACTCAGCAGAAAAGGTGGTATTTTTAACAAATGGTACTGGGAAAACTGAATATCCATGTGTAGAAGAATGAAACTAGGTTTTTAATCTCTCACTCTATACAAAAATCAACTCAAAGTGGATCAAAGACCTAGGAATTAGACTAGAAACTTTGTAAATTTGTTAGAAGGTAGGGCTAATACTCCAACATATAGGTAGAGGTAGTAACTTCTTCAAATAGGAACTCTAAAGCTCCAGAAATAATATCAAGAATTAATAACTGGGGGGCTGGGGATGTGGCTCAAGCGGTAGCGCGCTCGCCTGGCATGCGTGCGGCCCGGGTTCGATCCTCAGCACCACATACCAACAAAGATGTTGTGTCTGCCGAGAACTAAAAAAAAAAAAAAAAAAAAAAAAGAATTAATAACTGGTATGACAAATTAAAAAGCTTTTGCACAACAAAGGAAAAAAGTGTGTGAAGAGAGAACATACAGAATGGGGGGAAATCTTTGTTAGCTGACAGAGGATTAATTTCTAGAATATATAAAGAACTCAAAAAACTTAACACCAAACATTAAATAAATAAATAAAAATAAAAACAAACAAACAAAACAAAAATCTACAAATAACCTAATCAATAAATGGGTAAATGAATTAAAAAGACACTCTTCAAAAAAAAAAAAAAGTACCAGGTGTATTGTGACTCAGTGGTAAAGTGCTCGTCTAGCACAATGAGGCTCTGGGTTCAATCCTTGGCACCACATAAAAACAAAATAAAGGTTATTGTGTCCACCTACAACTAAAACAAATATTTTTTTAAAAAGTACAAAGGCCAACAAATGCATGAAAAAAATGTTCAACACCCCTAGAAATTAGGGAGATGAAATCAAAACTACACTGAGATTTCATGTCACTCCAGCTAAAAGGGCAGCGATCAAGAACACAAACAACAATAAATGCTGGAGAGATTTGGAGGATAAGGAACACTCTTTTAGGTATTTTAAATTAGCATCTGCTATGGAAATCAATATGGAGGTTCCTCAAAAGACTAGGAATGAAACCACCATATGATCCAGCTATTCCATTCCTCTGTATTTATCATAAATAATTAAAGTCATCATACTAGAGTGATACATGTAAATCATGTTTATAGCAATACAATTTAGTCAAATGATGAATCATCCCAGATGTCTGTCAATGAATGAATGGATAAAGAAAATGTGCTGTATATACACCATTGAGTTTTATTCAGCCATAAAGAATGAAATTATGTTATTTGCTTATAAATGGATGGAATTGAAGAATATTATGCTAAGTGAAATAAACCAAATTCAGAAAGTCTGTGGAGGCAATAGGGAACTTGCATGAGGTTGCCCCCCAACTATTTTTTTTTCTTACTGCTAAGAGCCAACTTCTTTTGATTCCCCTCACACTCATCTTATATTTCAATACATCTATATTCTCACATCCTATCTCATAAACATCACATCCTACTACCCCTTCTCTCTCTGTCCACCACTAGAAACTGTAAATCCTTATGCAAACTTACCGGCTATATTGTAGAAGATACCATACTTGTAATTTCTGTTTATAGCAGCAAAATTTTAAGTGTCTAAATACAAGCTAATTGATTTATGGAAAAAAATTCAGAAAGCCACAGATCTTGTTTTCTCTCACATGTGGAAGCTAGAGAGAAAAAGAAAAAAGAAAAAATATTGGGGAGGGATCTCCTGAAAATAGAAGGGGAGCAAAGGGACTGGGGAATGAAATTGACCAAATTATACTGATATATTGTGTGCATGTATGAAATAGTAACAATGTATAATGTACCAATAAAATGAAAAAAAAAATAAAACGTTTAAAAACCTCCTTGAATCATTGAATATAATTTGTGTCTAATTTTTCAAGATCATAATATCAAACATCCTTGTAAATAAATCTTTCAAGTATTTATGCTATGAGGGTTACAGGTAATGTTTATAAAAAGGAAAAGGTTTATGCTGATGTGAAAAAATAAAGATGCAAAAATCCTATACAGTCTTGGGTCAACAGACACATTCTAAGAAATGTGTCATTAGAAGATTTAATTGTGCCAACATTACAGAATGCACTTACACAAACTAAAATGCTACAATGTCACTGGGTGACATAGATTCATGGGAGCACCATCAAATATGCAATCTGTCCTTAACTTAAATGTTGTTATGTGCAGCATGAYTGTGTAAACCATAATTACAACATAAAGATATATAAGAGGGGTTAGGGTTTAGGTCAATGGTGGTAGGGGATGACAACAATGTTTGCTGGGCAATGTCATCTATGTCTACAGTCCTGACTACTCAGGACTCCTATTAAGCTGAAGGATCACTTGAACCCAGAAGTTCAAGACTATCTTGGACAACATAGTGAGTCCTGTCTCAAAACAAAAATAAACCAAAATTCTTAGGACAAATTAAAATGAAAGCATAAGAAAAAAATTTTTAAAAAGTTTCTTCTAATATCTGAAAAGCTGCCAAATAATCCAGTGATTTTAGAGGGAAGATTTCATGAAGGCAGATTTTTTTCCAGTAAATAAAATTTTCCTAAATGTACATACTAATCAATTAAAGCACCATTTAAAAGGAGCAGGCACTAAATGTATTTTTGCAGGAGTAGTGGGGCAGGAGTTGCGGAAGCAGGTGGGGGTGACAGAGTTGCCAGTGCTGGGAATACCTGGATACTGTGTGGCCACTTTGGTCTCTCCCATAAACCTGCCTGCAACTCCCTGCAAACACACAGCTTCTCTGAGGCAGAATGAACAGGGTCTCTTGTGCTGATTTCTCCTTTGTTCTTTAGGGCCAGCTCCCCAGAGAAACTTTCCCTTATGCCACATCACTCCTCTCATTTGGTCTTGCATTATTTTTCTTCCTGACACTCTCCCTGATGGATACATTGTTACCTGTTGAGACATTTCCATTTGTTTTCCCCATTTAATATGCTTGTTCCAAGGGCAACTGGTCTGTGGGTCTGTTCTGGTGAGAGCGGGGGCGGGAATCCACTGTTCAATCAGAGAAGACTCCCATGTTGCAGGCCTGCCATATTTGTTCAATGAACTAAAGATTTCCCCCAAGAAACAAAGTACAAGGTTCAGGGAGGAAATTTCAGCAATGTTAAAAATTAATTGTAGGGTATGCCTGATTGACTAGTGGATAAACTAAATATGGTATGTCCACACACAAAAAAATAAAAGGACCAGAAATATACCTCAGTGGTAAAGCAACCCTGTCTTCAATCCCCAGTATCCCCACTTCAAAATACTGTATGATTCCATTTATGTAAGGTACTCCTGGAAAAGTCTAACTCACAGAGATAGAAAATAGAAAGGGGGACTGGGGTTGTGACTCAGCGGCAGAGCGCTTGTCTTGCACCCTGGGTTAGATCCTCAGCACTACGTAAAAAATAAATGAGTGAAATAAAGGTATTGTGTTCAACTATAAAATAAATATTTTAAAAAAAGAAAGTAGACAGGGCTAGGTGGGTGGGGATGAGGAGTTAGTATTTAACGGATATGAGTTTCTCTTGGGGAAGATGAAAAATCCTGAAGAGGGATGGTGGTGGTGGTTGCACAAAATGCATGTACTTAATGCCACAGAGCTGAACACTTCAAAATAATCAAAATGATATATTTCGTTATAAGTACTTTGTCACAATAAAAATAATCATAATTGTGGGTAATCGGAGAATGTGGTCTTTCCTTTCCTTGGCGTAAGAAAAAGTCCAGAATACTTAAAGGGTGATAATAGCATTCGAAAGGTCCCAAATGATCAAAGAGAAGCTATTTCTTACAGGAGGAAGTTCTCAATAGTGACTTTTCAAGGGAGGTGACCTGTGGGAAAGAGAGAATTCAGTGGTGAGGGTAGCAGTTTGTTCAGGATTTTTTTCTGTTTTAATGAGGGGCCTCTCAGGTCCCTATCAAGAGCCCGGTCCCTTAGGTGACACCCAATGTCTCGGCCTCCCCGCTGTGTCCTTCCTCATCCCGCAGCAGACGCGAAGAGTTAAAGGGTTCGGTACGAAGGGAAGGCGGCGAAACTAGCCTGGCCAGGACCAGGCAGGAGGCGAGACACTCCTGGGTCTGGAAGGGCCCGAACTGAACCGCCCGCTGACCAGGCCTGAGCAGCCATCAGCCAGGACCCGCGCACTCTGCTCCGCCCCCGACAAGCCCCGCCCAGATCCCGCCTTCCCTAGTCCCCGCCTCCTGCTCGGCCACACCTCCCTCCCAGCTCCGCCCCGGCGCCCCGGCCCCGCCCCGCCCCGCCCCCGGCGGACAGCGAGCAGGAAGCGCGCGGTGGCTTCGCCGACGCTGCCTTCGGAAAGGTGTGGAGGGGGCAAGGGGCACAGTTACGGTGTAGTCGCGTCTCCTGTCATCCGGGCAGCCCGCGGTCCTGGCCCATTTAACTGCTCTGCGCCGCGCAGGCCCATGGACACCCCCGCCCGAGCGCTGGCTCGGGGCTCCGCTGCTCTGGCCTGGGAGGCGGGGCCGGCGGCGCGGCGTCATGCATATGCATGAGCGGCGCGGCGGCGGCTCCATTGTGCCCTCGGAGCGGGCGGCGGCGCGATGGCGCGGGCGGCGGCGGCCCAGGGGCGGCGGGCGGCGTGGAGGGCGGGCTGAGCGCATGGAACGGCGCGGGCCGGGGGCCGCCGCGGCGAGGGGCCGCGCCAGGCCGGGAGGAGGTGAGCGGGGCCCCGGGGGTTGCGCCTGGCTACGCCGCCTGCGGACAGGTGCGGGGTGGCGGGGGCGGGCAGGTGCGGCAGGTGCGGACCGGCAGGTGCGGCCCCTCCCCCGAGGTCCCCCCAGGCCTGCTGCAGCGCCTGTGGCGGGTTTCGCGGCCGGGTTGGAGGCCGTGGACTCTGCCGCCCACCTGCAAACACCTGCCACGCTTGCGTCGTGGTCTTGGGCATACTCGTCTCCGTGGGTGTCTGGTTCGTCCCATCCTTACCCCGAGCCTTTGTTGGGGGTTGGCCGAGGGGTATAAGCGGCCTTCAGGCTCCTCCAGAGCTAAGGAAACTGATCCGGCCCTCGCCCCAAACCTGGCGGTTCCTGGCTGTGGGGCCAGGCGGTCTCACCTTCACTGTGCGACCCTCTCTTCCCACTTGTGTGCTCACCGTTAGGGGTCCTTGGAGGTCGTCACAGACCAGAGGAGAGAATGCGCTGCTCTTGGGTCGGACGACACTGACCTGTCAGTCCCCAGCTGTGGTTTTCATGAGGCCACCCTTGTCCAAACCTGACATACTGAAGCTCGGGCATGAGGGTGCCCTACTCTCCTGGCATGCCTTGTCTCTACCCCCTCCCAAGTGTCCTGGTCGCCGCTGCCCCCAAGATATCCTATCCCCCACCACCCAGTGCTTTGTTTACCCCTCCCAGGTGCTCTATGTCTCCCAGGTGTCCTGTTCCCTCAAGGTATCCTATCCCCACAGCCTGCTGCCTTGCTTACCCCATCACCTTCCCTGTCCTCAAAAAAGAAAAAACAAAACAAAAAACCCCCTCTCTGCCTAGTCCCCTAGGCTCTGATCCCCTTCTCCCTAGGGTATCCTCTTTCCAGTAGTTACAAGAACATCCTTGGTGATGTCTTTAAGTCATTTGTGTTGTAGCAGATTTCACAGGGACACAAACAAAACATGTGACTTGTGGATACAGATAAGGTGGAAGACTCATCACCAAGTCCTGGCATGCTAGAACTGAGGGCATCCCTTGACACTTGAGAGTGGTAACAGGAGAAGTGAGGGAATCTTAACTACATCCAGCAGTACTGAACTGGGGCCCTTGTCACACCTGGCGATGATCACAAGCTTGGAAGTAGGAGTGAAGAGAAAGAGCAGGGGAGGACTTTGGGAGTGTAGGCCCAGCATGTTTGGGGAGCATCCTSATTATTAGGATTGATCTTCAAGGGCTGGTGACAAAGACAGTCATGTCACGTGTCTGCAGTCCTAGAGTGGCTACCAGATACCCATTTTACACATTGTAAACTGAAGCCAGGTTTGGGTTGTCCCTTTAGCCATTCACTGAAATGCCCCATGCCTGGACTATTGGTCAGTGTTTATTCTGAACTTCTTGATGAAATCTGATATCCTGACTTTTAGCCCCACAGTGAGGCCAGTCAGTGTTGTGGCCTCCCAGGTAGGGGAGGCAAGACTTCCAGCTGCCTGTGCACATGATCACTTCATCTTTTGGCACTGAAGACCCTGTTCCTCTCTCACTCCTGAGCTGTCATTTCTTTTTTCTTTCTTTTTTTTTTTGGATTCTTTTTGTGAAGGGGATCTCTTTGTTGCCCAGGCTGGTTCCAAACTCCTAAGCTCAAGTGCTCGTTCTGTCCAAGCCTCCTGAATAGCTGGAACTATAGGCATGTACTAGTGTGGCAGGCTCCAAAGCTGTCGTTTCTTGAAGACCTTTTGACCCCATCCTCTCTTGAGTTGGCTTGACCCTAGATACTTGAAGGCAGAGAGTCTGCTTTGTTTTCAACTTGTTAAGAAAGGGTGGCCTGCTTCAGAGAGTCTGCCTACTGACTAGTTGTGGCTGCTCTGGGACACTGGGGAAAGAGGAATCTGGGGGGAAAAAATTCTTTTTTTTTTTTTCCCCAGGAATTGAACCTAAGGGGCACTTGATCCCTGAGCCACATCTCTAGCCCTATTTTGTATTTTATTTAGAGACAGGGCCTCACTGAGTTGCTTAGCGCCTCACTTTTGCTGAGATTGGCTTTGAACTCGCACTCCTCCTGCCTCAACCTCCTGCACCTCTGGAATGGAAAATGAGTTTTTTGAAGTCCTATTTCTGGAGGAAAATGTGACTTGACCTCTAAAAAGACTTGTTGCCTTCTAGACTGACCCCAAGCCAGAGCACCTATGTTCAGGGCTCTAGCTTTCAGCTTAATGAGAGTATGGGAGGAAAGCCCCCAGGCAGGCCAGACCTTGAGTGACCTGGCCTCTTTCCCAGCCTTTCCTGGGAGGAGAAGGTGGGAGGAGGGTCTGAATTCACAGAACACCGCTCTGTGGTCAGGAGCAGAGGGTCATAAGATACCAGACCCAGGGAATTGGGGGATTTACAGAAAGAAATGCCCTCAGGAGACCAGAGGTATCACTTCAGGAGTTTGACAGGAAATCCTCTCAGTTTAGAGAGGAAAACTCAAGGGGAACTGGAAATGTCTGTGGTCTCTGCCCATAGCAGAGAAGCATTGTAGGTGGAATTCCCCAGTCCCATGTGACACATGAGGCTGCTAAGGGCTCCTCTTCATCCTACACCTACTCTCTGTCTCCCTTCACCCCAGCTCTCTGCATTTCCTAGATCTGAGGCTCCCCTAGTGTGGTCAGCAGAAACTGTAGCACCTACAAATGTGTTAGAAATGCAGGCTGGTGTCCTGGCCCAACCTTTTGATCCAGTGTGGGGCAGGGCATCCTCTCATCAGTCTGAGAGTTGGTTTTCATGCACTGAAATTGGGGAACTGTTGTCCTGTGTAACCTGAAGTGAGGCAGAGGACTCTGCTCACTGCTTGATTTCCTCCCTATGCTGCTTGGCACAGTAAGATGGGCTGGGCCAACCCAACCAGCTTTGCCTTGGGAAGGGTTGTCAGGACAGCTTTTTTTTTTTTTTTTTTTTTTTTTTTGGTGCTGGGGATTGAACCAGCTGAGTTATATCCCTAGCCCAGGACAGCTCTTAAAAGGGTGGTGGTGGTGCTGGTGCTGGTGGTGGTGCTGGTGGTGGTGGTGGTGGTGGTGGTGGTGGTGGTGGTGGTGGTGCTGCTGCTGCTGCTGCTGCTCCTGCTGCTCCTCCTCCCCCTCCTCCCCCTCCTCCTCCTGCCCCCCCACTTCTTCCTAGGTTTATAACTAAAAATTTTGTTTTGAGGTAATTGTAGAATCAGTTCTTAAGAAATAATACAGAGGTCCCTTGTATCCTTTACCCAGTTTCCCCCAATGGTAACATTTTGCAAAACTGTAGTATAACATCACCGCAGGACACTACATTGATACAGTCCACAGGCTCCTTCCTGTTGCTGGCTTATATTCATTCCCACCTCCCTCTTGCCAAAATTACAAATTTACCTCTCCCACTACATTTAACCCTGGCAACCAACAGTCTGTTCATTTCCCTGATTTTGATGTATCAAAAATGCCAGGTAGGTGTTGAGAGCCACAGCCGAGTTGGGATGGCGCTTGGCATTTTGCCAGAAGGAATGGTTGAGAGGTGACACCAGCAAGCCATTAAGATGATAATTAAGTTAACCTGTGTATAATTGCTGTGACTGGATGATGCTGGATTGAAACAGGTTGTGTATTCAGTTGTATATAGACTCCTGCTGTGCGGCAATAGGGCGGCTCCTGCTGCCCGCTACTTTTGAGTTCTCATGGAGCCCTGTGGAGAGCTGGGAGAGTTCCCAGGGAGTGCCTGTGGAGTGCTGGTGGAGTTCTGGAGTTCGGCAATAAAGTAGTTCCTGTTTGAATCTACAAGTGCCTCGTGGCAGCTCGGTTATTTTGTGCCCAGCCAGACTGTGGCAGGTAGGGCTGGAGGTTGTGGCTCAGGGGTAGAGTGCTTATCTTGCATGCAGGGGACACTGGGGTCTTGCATGTGCGGGACACTGGGTTCCATCTTCAGCACCACATAAATAAATGAAATAGAGGTATTGTCCATCTACAACTTWAAAAAAAAGGCTTTAAAAAAATGCCAAGTAAAGGAATCATATAATATATAGTCTTGGCGATTGGCTTTTCCCGTCTTGTGAATATATAGTCTTGGCAATTGGCTATTGGCTTTTCCAGTCAGCATAGTTCCCTGGAGATTCATCCAGGTGGTTTTGTGTTATCAGTAGTTCATTTCTTTTTCTGGCATCCAGGCTATGAATGTATCATAGTTGATTTAAGTATTCATCCACCAAAGGACATCTGGGCTGTTTCCACCCTTTAGCTGTTAACAATGGTTATTACAAATAATTCTTCTATAAACATTCATGTATAGGTTTCTATGTGAATATAAAGTTTTCATTTCTCTGAAGTAAATGCCCAGTTGCTATGTCATAGTTTAGTGGCTGAGTATTTAGTTCTGTAAGAAATGGCTAACCCACGCTTACCTAGCATGTGTGAGGCACTGAGTTTGGTCTTCAGCACCACATATAAATAAATAAAATAAAAATGTTGTGTTCATCTACAACTAAAATAAAAATATTTTTAAAAAATGGCAGGTGGTACACACCTGTAATTTTAGCTACTCAGAAGGCTGAGGTAGGATTGCCAGTTCAGGGCCAGTATGGGCAACTTGGTAGGATCCTGTCTCAAAAAAATTAGAAGAGCAGGGGAGGTAACTTGGTGGTAGAGCACACTTGGGGTCAATGCCCAGAAAAGAAAAAAAGAAAAAGACAAAAAAGAATAGACTACACTTTTATACAGCAGTGTGCCATTTTACATTCCCACCAGCAATGAGATATCCAGTTTCTCCTTGCCAGCATTTAGTGATGTCACTATTTTTTAACTATTCTGTTAGATGTATAGTGATGTCTTTTTGTGGTTTTAATTTGCATTTCCCTGCTGACTAGTGATGCTGAGCATCTTTTCATATGCTTATTTACCATCTGTATATCCTCTTTGGTGAAGTGTCTCTTCATGTTTTTTTGGTGTATTTTCTAATTGGATTTTTTTTTTTTTTTGAGAATTCTTTGTACATTCTAAATACTAGTCCTTGGGTTGGATATGTGGTTTGCAAATGTTTTTTCCATTCTGCAACTTGCTGTTTCATCCTCTTAACAGGTCTTTCTTAGAGGGGAAATTTATTTTTTATTTTTATTTTTTGTGGTGCTGGGATTGAACCCAAGGACACTGTACCACTGAGCCACACCTCTAGCCTTTTTTATTTTTTATTTTGAGATAGGATCTCACTAAGTTGCCTAGGCTGGCCTCAAACTTGGGATCCTCTTGCCTCAGCCTCCTGAGTTGTCACTGGAGTCACAGGGGTGCACCACTTGAGATGGGGGGACAATTTTTTTTTCTTTTTTGCCATGCTGGGGATTGAACTCAGGGCCTTCTGCCTGCTTGGCAAGCACTCTTTCACTAAACTACCTTCCTGTCCTAAAAAGTTTTTAATTTTGGGGCTGGGGATGTGGCTTAAGCGGTAGCGCGCTTGCCTGGCATGCGTGCGGCCTGGATTCGATCCTCAGCAGCACATACAAACAAAGATGTTGTGTCCACCGAAAACTAAAAATAAATAAATAAATATTTTTTTTAAAAAAGTTTTTAATTTTAATGAAGTACATTTCATCAATTTTTTTTCTTTTATGGATTTATGTTTTTTGGTATAAAGTCTAAGAACTCTTTGCTTAGCCTAGATCCCAAAGGTTTTCTCCTCCAAATTTTCCTAAACTTTTTATAATTTTGTGTTACCAACTATACCTAGGACCAAGTTTATTTTGAGTTTAATTTCAGTATAAGGTGTAAGGTTTGGATTGTTTTCTGTTTTGTTGTTTCCCCAGCGCTGGGGATCAATCCCAGGTTCTCATGCATGCCAGGCAAGCACTCTACCATAGGGCTACATCCCTAGATACCCCCATCTCACCCTGGGTTTTTGTTTTTTGTCTTGTTGTTAGTTTTTCTATAGATGTCCAGTTATTCCAGCACAATTCGTTGGAGAGACTGATCTTCCTCCACTGAATTGCTTTTATATCTTTGGATATATTTTGTGTCTGATTTCATAGTTCTGTCCTTCTGTTAGTACCACAGTCTTGATTATTATATCTCTATTCTAATTCCTGAAATATTCACAGTTGCTGCAGATCCTACCCARCAGGTCTGGGAAGAAGTTTCTGCCTTTTGGCAGGTCCCCCTTCCTAGTGGGTCATCATCCTAGGAAAGGCAGTGGGAATAGGGATGCCAGCCTCCCCTTGCATGGCTGAGCCATCCTAATTCCCTGCTTTTTTTCTGGCCTGAGCTTCCTGGGTCAGGACTTGATTTGAGGAGGGGCTAAGGGATCTGGCTACCTCTGAGGACAGGGGACCTGACTCGTGTAGCTGGGACATCCCTCCACTACCTCCTTCTCCTCTAATTGGTTTCCTTTCCCACAAAGCCTATTGCTGGGTATGGGAAGGGCCAGTGGAGGTCCAGGTGTCCCATTTGCCAAGGCATGGCTAAGTCACCTCTCATTCTTACCTGTTCTGAGCCCTTGGATGCATGGTTCACCTTTGCTGAGGTTCTAGGTCAGTATTTGCAGAGCAGATAAGGATGCTTTACTTCAGCCAGTACTGAGATATGGGTGAGACAAAGTTAGGTGGGTGCTGGCTTACCTTCATGTCAGATACCTTCTTTCTCCTGGGCAAGAGATTGGCCCTGTAAGTATTAGGGTGGCAAGATGGGAATCACAGGAGGTCAGCATGCTTTGGTGTGTGTGTGTGTGTGTGTGTGTGTGTGGCAGCCTTGCAGCCCCCAAAGGCTGTGAGATCCAGGGTGAAACATAACCTGGCCTCCCCCAGGAGCTTCCTGAGAACCACTTACCAGTTGCCCTATGTGCCTCTGTAGGGGTGACCTATATATATTAGAACCGAAGGTAGTACCAGTTTTGGGTAAAGGAGGCAGTATAGGAGTGGGGCCTAGGAGTGTCTGGGCCTGGCTTGAATAAGGGTCTTGCTTATGGCAGTGTGAGGAATGTGGCACTTGGAAACAGACCAAAGATTCCTGTGGCTCACTAATTGGGGCAGCAAATTCAGTACAGCAGGCTGAGTTCCATAGTATTGACATCATGTCCTACAAGTACCTGCCTGTTGTACTCTCTTGACCTGCTGTCTACTATGACCACATCCCTGTGGTCCACCTACCCTGACCCTACAGAGGTGGTTCAGCATCCCTTTCCCCCACCCCTGCTTATAATCACCTGCCACATCGGGTCCCTTCCAAGGCTTTGGTGCCTATCAGTCCTCCACTTGTTGTGCTCTGTGTGTCTCTGCCTGGTTGGAAACTTACTCTGAATGTCACAGATGGGCCTATAGGGGTAGGACTGCTTGCATGGCCCCTGTGCCTGCAGTTTCAGGCAGCCCTTCGTCCCGTGGCATCTGAGTCAGTTTTGAGGTTCCCTGACCTAGAGCCCCTATGCTGCTCTCTTGGTGAGAAGGACCTGCCAGCCAGAGGCTGGGCTGCTGGTCCATATACCCTGCTTCAGCAGGTATCCCACATCCCCCTCCCCCATGCCAGGCTGGAAGGTAGCTGTTCTGTACCTGCTTCTTGACCTTTTCAACCTCTTATTTAGAGCCCCCACTAGCTTTGCCCCTCTCCAGGTCCCTGCCCAGGTTGATCAAGATCCCAAGTTGGTGATGCCCTTATTGGCCCTGTGTCCTCCCTGCCAGCACCTCCTGAGGGGCTTCTGGCAACCTGTTCTCTATCCCCGAATCACTATGGGGTGACTTTTTTAATAGCTTTACATGGATGGATATCCAGTTCTTGGTGTGGGGGAGAGTGTGGCAAGTTTTTGGAATCAGTCTGTTTCCAGGGTGGATCCAGGGGTTCTGGGTGGCAGACCCTGGGTCAGAAAGGCTTCATGCCAGCTTCTGGGCTGGGTGTGAGGCACAGAGGTTGGGCTGGTGAGCCAATATCAGCCTCTTCCATTGTCCTACCTACCACTGGAGCTTAGCCATCCCTTGCAGAAGAAGGGGCTGGCCTGGTGGCCCTGGGCTCTTTCTACTCTGCTAAAAGGGTCTCAGGTGGCATCTAAGTTCACATCCTTTCCCTCCTGTCCAGCAGCCAGAGCAACAGAGTCCCAGATAAGCACTGGCAGACCCGGTCTGTAGGGCTGCTCTATCGCCAATGAACTCCATGAACCCCATGAAACCTGCCCTGCCCCCTGCGCCACACGGGTGAGTGTGGGCTCCTGTGGCCTGTCCCTTGCAGGCCCTGTGCTCTTGGGCACCTGTGGCCTCCTGACCTAGGCCTCACCAGCCACTCTTCCTGTAGTGATGGTTCATTTGCATACGAGTCTGTGCCTTGGCAACAAAGCGCCACTCAGCCGGCTGGGTCGCTATCCGTGGTCACTACCGTGTGGGGAGTCGGCAACGCAACACAGAGCCAGGTGAGCACCTACCTGAGTCCCTCCCCCAAGCAATGAGAGCCTTGGGCAGTGCCTTAGAGCTCTGAAAGACAAGGAACTTAAATGGGGAGGTTGGGGCATAAAGATGGGGCTTCCTGATTCTCTCAGGTCCTTGGGTGCTGGTTCTTTCACACTCCCATGGGTTTTCTTCTGTCTACAGCCAGCCTCCACAAATCACCCCAACCTGACCTATGGGCAGGTACTCCCCCACCGCCCACGCCCCCACCCGTCCCCTATACCACCACTAACCAGGTCTTTTGGTTTCTAGTACTTTAGTGCTAAAGCTTGAAGAGGGTGCTTTAGCTGGTTCCTTTTGGTGATTCCCACTTCCTTGTAGGTTCTGGGGAACCCCATGGGCCCTGCAGGAAGCCCCCCTGGTGGCTCCATGATGCCTGGTGTGGCAGGTGGCAGCTCCGCCTTGACCTCCCCGCAGTGCCTGGGACAGCAGGCGTTTGCTGAAGGTGGTGCTAGCAAGGGCTACGTGCAGCAAAGTGTGTATGGCCGTGGGGGCTACCCCGGGGGCCCCAGCTTCACCACCGGGTAAGCAGGGCCCCTCATCTGACAGATGGCTAGAAGCCATCAACCTGGCGGGCACCTGGCGGGCACCTCTGAACTGTTGGACATTGCCTCTCTGCTTCCCCACTGGCTCCAGCAGCTACCGTGGAGAGTCTGGAAAGAACTGGCTCCCCCTAAGTGCTGTGTGGCCCTAGGCTGAGTCTGTGCAGAGAGCGTGGCAGTCCTGTGTCTCTTGCAGATATGCAGGTGGCCCAGGGGGACTGGGTCTCCCCTCACATGCTGCACGACCCTCCGCTGACTTCACACAAGCAGCAGCTGCAGCTGCCGTGGCTGCCGCTGCAGCCACTGCCACAGCTACAGCCACAGCCACCGTGGCTGCCCTGCAAGAGAAGCAGAGCCAGGAGCTGAGCCAATATGGAGCGGTGAGGGCAACCCCCCAACTCCTACCATTTGGCAGCCAGCATGTGTGGGACTTGGCCAGGGAAATCTCAGCAAGGTGTTGGGGTCAAGCATGGAATGTGCTCACTGGGGGCTTATGAAACCAGTGAAAGAGAAATGAGTAGGAAGAAAAAGAGTCTGAAGGGGGAGAGGCCCTGAAACCAGTAGCTAGGGGTACGTGCCCATAGCACCAGTGAGCCATGTGCCCATTTGTGGGGGGAGTGTAAACCATTCTGAATTTTTCTTTTCCCAGATGGGGACTGGACAGTCTTTTAACAACCAGTTTCTGCAGCATGGAGGTCCCCGGGGGCCCAGCGTCCCCCCTGGCATGAACCCTACTGGCATGGGAGGGATGATGGGCCCCTCTGGCCTCTCCCCCATGGCCATGAACCCCACTCGGGCAGGAGGCATGACGCCCTTGTATGCAGGGCAGCGCCTACCCCAGCATGGGTACCCTGGTCCTCCCCAGGCCCAGCCGCTGCCCCGACAAGGGGTCAAGAGAGCATACTCTGAGGTGAGTGTCTTGATTACCCAACCTGGGGCCCTGGGTGCTGTTTCCCCCACCCAAGTGGCCTCAGAGCTGTGGTAAGAGCAGCTCCTACAGTGAGAAAATTGTCCATGCTCAGCAGGACCAGGGGACCCTGCCCCCAGCACATGGGGCACTACTTGCCTGCTGATGCCTCTTCTTTCTGGGGTATTTGCTTCTTCAGGTGTATCCAGGGCAACAGTACCTACAAGGAGGCCAGTACGCGCCCAGCACTGCCCAGTATGCGCCCGGCCCCGGGCAACCCCCTGCCCCTTCCCCCTCTTACCCTGGGCACAGACTACCCCTGCAGCAGGGCATGGGCCAGTCCCTGTCTGCACCAGGCCCTGCAGGACTGCACTACAAGGTAGGGCCAGCTCCCCTGGCCTATGCCAGGCCCACTGTCATGGGAATAGTGGGGACCTTGAGGCAGTCCTGCCCCTGAGGGGTATAGGCTAGCCAGGGAGTGGGTGGAACCTCACAGGGGTCCCAGCCAGTGCAGGGTTCAATTCTGAAAGGAACCTCTACAAGATTCATGAATCTCTCTGGAAATTCAGCAKAGGGAGCAGCAGGCAAGCACTCAAGCCATTCTGACATTCTTTATGGAAAATGTTCCCATTCCCTCTACTTGCTGTAGAGAAACCCATCTAGGGAACAAGCCTTTTCTACTGGTGGTACACCATCTGGGTACTTGGTGGGTAGAGAGCACCTCACTAGGAGTCTGGGTGGGCAAGTTAGTACAGCTGGAGGAGGATAAAAAGGGGAGGTTTGAGTGCACCTGTGTCATTTCAGCCCCTTCCATGTGTGGAGTCACCCCTTTTCTATAGTGGTATCTTTTTACATTTTAATATTGGTAATGTGTCTTATGGAATATGTGGGATATACAACAGAGCATAAAGACTATGCAGATTGGCAGCTCTGTTTGTGGTGAACTTCTAGGATCAGGCCTGGGGGATTCAACTGGGGGCAGGGCCCACATGCACTCAGTTTTCTCTCCCACAGCCTGCAGAACAGTTCAACGGGCAGGGCACCAGCTTCAACGGGGGCAGCGTCAGCTACAGCCAGCCTGGCCTGAGTGGGGTATGGGGCTCGGCTGGGTGGATGGCTGGGAGGCTCACAGGGTGGGCATGTGGACAGAGGGACTGCCTCCTCTCCACCTCTGTTCTCATGTTTCCCAGTGGGTGCTACATGAACAACTCTAATCCACCCATCCTACCATTCTGCTTTAACTGTTTGTGCTCAATCTCTATAGCCTGCCCGTTCCATCCCTGGCTACCCCAGCTCCCCACTGCCAGGCAATCCCACACCACCCATGACGCCCAGCAGCAGTGTCCCATACATGTCCCCAAGCCAGGAGGTCAAGTCTCCCTTCCTGCCTGACCTCAAACCAGGTCTCAGCTCCTTGCACCCATCGCCCTCTGGTGAGTGTTCACTCTAGGGACAATAGCTGTGACAGACTAGGCAGACATGGGGAATACCAGGGCTCTAGTGCCTTGTGGGAGCTTGGGAGAGCAGGAGCAGTTGCTCGATCCCAAGTAAAGCTAAGGTTTCCATCTTAAAGATAGACTGTTTGGTTCTGGGCCTTTACCTTTGTTTTCTATTCATGGCCCTGCGCAGATCTGTTAGAGCTATAGATATCTACAGGAAAATATCCACAGACACAAAATTTTTTATATAAAATTGAAGCCTATCTTTAGCTGAGAACCCCTGCTTCCAAGGAGACCATCACAGCAGAAGTTAGAATCCTGAAACCTCAAATTGAGCAATTGGGTGATGGCCACTGACATCCTGGCCTTCTGGTTTCTAAAAAAACATTGTAAACATCTTCTGCCTGAGTTGGGTTCATGTTCCCCTGTCATAGTTCAGTGGACACTAGGCTGGGTAATTGAGGCAGATGAACATTAGGACCTAGGGCCCAGGGTCTCAGGAGAGATGCTGTCTGAGGCCCTGGCTGTGGGGTACAGCTCAGGTCTTCAGAGCAGACCTGGCGAGGGGCTCCAGGATGTAGCAACCCTCTTTGAGTAACTATAGATGCTCTGGTTGGTGTCCAGTTTACAACCAACATGGTGTCTTGTTACCAGGTAATGGTCCTTGTGATGAGCTGCGGCTGACCTTCCCTGTAAGGGATGGGGTAGTCCTGGAGCCCTTCCGCCTGCAGCACAACCTGGCTGTGAGCAACCACGTCTTCCAGCTTCGAGACTCAGTCTACAAGACTTTGATGCTGAGGTGATCCCCACTGGCCCAGCCCCAGCCCCTCCACCCCCACCCATACTCGGTGTGAAGTCTCTGATCATCCTTTTCCGTTTGCAGGCCTGACCTGGAGCTGCAGTTCAAGTGCTACCACCATGAAGACCGGCAAATGAACACCAACTGGCCAGCCTCCGTGCAGGTCAGCGTCAATGCCACACCCCTCACCATCGAGCGTGGAGATAACAAGACCTCACACAAGCCCCTCTACCTGAAACACGTGTGCCAGCCTGGCCGCAACACCATCCAGATCACCGTCACCGCCTGTTGCTGCGTGAGTATCCTGCAGGGTATGGGCAGGGCTTGGCTGAAACACCACCTGGATCACTACCCCTGGGGTCATGGATGGGCTGAGGATGGGTGGGCCCAGAGCCAGGCTGTGGGCTATTTTCCAGTTAGATTATATTTACTAGATTTAATACTCATGTTGATACTATGAGAGAAACAAAGTTGTGTAGCAAGCTCACAGAGTTCCGTCCATAGGAGGTTCAACATCACCCAGGTTCCAGCCATCAGGATCTCATTTGGACCTATGTAACAAGGGCCTGGGGATGGGACAGCTCAGAATCCTCATTCTGTGGGACTTAGGAGGTTTGAACTAGACACAGTGTCAGTAAGATTGGATGCCATGAGCAGGGAGATATACAAGGCATACAGGTATTTTGTTTTTAATATTTTTTTAGTTGCCAATGGACCTTTATTTAATTAATTAATTTATTTATATATGGTGCTGAGGATTGAACCTAGAGCCTAGGGTTGTTAGGCAAGCTCTCAACTACTGAGCTATAATCCCAGCTCAGGTATTGTTTTTATGGCAAGGTGAGAACTAGGCAGTGGATGAACAAGAACAGAATGCCCAATAGAGCTGTTGAGATGTTTGAGTGTGGGCAAGAGCACCAGCAGCCTGAGGCCAGAGTCTCCTGGGCTCCAGGAAAGTAGAAAGCATCCTGACTGTGCTTTAGCACTCAGGAGGATAGGGCCTAGTTATGAGAAACATGGCTGGTCTGGTCCTCTCCCCTTGACTATCTCACCCCAAACCCCTCCCTTCCCAGCCTGGTACCCCTGACATAACTACTCTTCTCCAGCTGTGTTCCCCAAAATCATGTCCCCACATCCTCCCACCTGTGTTCCCCCTACATACAATATCCCCCACTGTGTTGCAGTCCCACCTCTTCGTGCTACAGCTGGTGCATCGTCCATCTGTCCGCTCCGTACTGCAGGGCCTACTCAAGAAGCGCCTCCTGCCTGCTGAGCACTGCATCACCAAGAGTGAGTGGCCCCACCCACAACCACTGGGGCTGTGCCCAAGCTGAACAGTGTTTCATGTGGCACATCTCCATGTCACACAATGCATTTTCTCCCAGGCTGATGGCAGTAGTTAGCTGATGGCAGTAGTTAAGTAACACCTTGGAGCTGTTGATCATTCAGTGTCCTGGCTGACATCCCCATTCATAGCCTCCCCATGTTGCGAACCCTTTACTCAAATCTCTTCCCCTGTTGTCAGTAAAGCGGAACTTCAGCAGTGGCACTATCCCTGGCACCCCTGGGCCCAACGGAGAGGATGGGGTGGAACAGACAGCTATCAAGGTGTCCCTGAAGTGCCCCATCACCTTCCGCAGAATCCAGCTCCCTACCCGTGGTCATGACTGTCGCCACATACAGGTAGGTGGGTGGTCACTGCAGAACTTTGCCCAAATTTGCTGCCTTTAAAATATTTTGAGCTTGTGGAGCAACCAGAAATTTGAGATCATATTGGATAGAATCTAAACTAGAAAAACTACTTGAGAAAGCTATAGATATCATTTTTAAAAATATGTATGCTTCACAGTCAACAGTTGTACTCCGGCTGTATATCCGACAGAAATGTACACATTATTGTTCATAGCTATATTTGAATTGTAAGAGCTTCAAATAAAAACAAATGTTTATCAACAATTAAAAAAATTGTTTTGAGCTGACACCTCAGCCTCATCCTCTGGGGCAGAAGTGGAATCTGAACACCTAAGCCAACAGGCCATGGACCAGGCCTGCCATGGAGGCCGCTGGGCCTGGCTGCCCCAAGGTTAGGCTTTTGTTTCTTCTAAATATAATCACCATTTTACTCACTTCTCTACTAGCTACTGCGTTCATTGTTAAAAAAGCATAAGGATGTGGGTGTGGTCTTCTTCCTGCCCTACCGTGAAAGTCTCTGTCTTTGCAGAAATACCCAGTGTTAGACAAGAAACTACATTCTCCTCCCTGTTACATGCTGCTCTGTACTATAGTTTTCCCTTTAACATGGTGTCTGGCAATGGTTCCTTATCAGTACAGTTGCCCAATTCTTGCTTTGGTCACAGGGGGCTCCAATTCTGTTGAGATGCTTGGGATGGTCCATTAGAATTATGTTACAGTGGAGCCAGGCATGGTGATATGTGCCTATAATCCCAGCAACTTAAGAGGCTGAGGCAGGAGGATCACAAATTCAAGGYCAGCCTTGGCAATTTAGTGAGTCCCTTACCAATTTAGGGAGACCCTGTCTCCAAATAAAAATTAAAAGGGCTGGGGGCTGGGGTTGCAGCTCAGTTGGTAGAGCGTTTGCCTTACATGTGTGAGGCACTGGGTTCAATCCTCAGCACCACATAAAAACAAATAAATAAAAAATAAAGGTATTTAAAAAAAAAAAAAAAAAAGGACTGGGGAAGTAGCCCAGTGGTAAAGCACCCCTGGGTTTAAGACACATTCCAGAAATCCAGAAAACATATCACCCTCACCCTAGCCCACAGTGAGAAATGACCTGTTTCCCATCTCTGCAGTGCTTTGACCTGGAGTCATACCTACAGCTCAACTGTGAGCGAGGGACCTGGAGGTGCCCCGTATGCAAGTGAGTTTCATGGTGTGTGACAAGGGAGAAACTGCCACATCCTCAGAGGCTTTTATAAGTGAAACTTCCAAATACACAAGCCTGTTGGAAGTAGTCACAGCACATACCAGGAAGGGTCAGCTCAGGGCAGAAACCTTTTTTTTCCCCCCCATATTTTCTTAATTGGTGCATTATAGTTGTACATAATGGTAGGATTTGTTGTTATATATTCATACTTGAACACAATATAACAATATAATTTGGCCAGTGTTCCCCAGAGGCAGAAATCATCCATGGGGTATTCTTATTTAGGGTCACCTTGTGCCCATTTCACCTCACAACGTCTTACAGTCACCTTACACAAGGGCAACTTTCAGAGTTTCCTCATGCAGGGTCACCTCATATAAGTTTACCTCACACAGRGTTATCTTCTGTAATCACTGTGTACAGGGTCACCTCACATGGCATCATCTTGGACAGTCGTCTCATGCAGGGTTGCCTCACACGGGGTCACTATGCACAGACACCTCATATAGGTGTTGGGCCTGAGAAGTGATGGGGTCTGGGCCCAGGGTGAAGTTGGGTAAGGCCTTTAAGCCATGTCCCCTTTGTTACTTGTAGCAAGACAGCATTGCTGGAGGGCCTGGAGGTGGACCAGTACATGCTGGGCATCCTGATATACATTCAGAAGTAAGTGTCTTCTTTCTGCCACCCCGTGTCTGTGGCCACCAGAGGGCAGTCCTGGGATGAGTGTAGTCTTCTGAGCTCTTCACTACCCTGGAGTGACTCAATTCCAGACCAGAGGCAGTGCCATGTCCCCCATGTATATCAATCCCAGGCTCCACATCATGCATAGCACCTGAAAGCACTCTGGATAGCAGAGTGTTTGAGTTGAAAGTCTGGTTGGAAACTTCCTTGGGATTGAAGGGCAGCAGGTGCTTGGTAGACAGATGACCAGTACCCATGTGTCCCTGCCTAGCTCTGACTATGAGGAGATCACCATCGACCCCACATGCAGCTGGAAGCCAGTGCCTGTGAAACCTGATGTGCACATCAAGGAGGAGCCAGATGGGCCGGTGCTGAAGCGCTGCCGCACCATGAGCCCTGCCCATGTGCTCATGCCCAGCGTGATGGAGATGATTGCAGCCCTGGGCCCCGGTGCTGCTCCTTTCACCCCCTTGCAGCCCCCTTCAGCCCCTGCCTCCAGCGACTACCCTGGCCAGGGTGAGTACAGCACACACAGCCTCAAACTTCAGGTGACTCTGGACCAGCGACTCATCCTCTCCAGAGGAGTCTCCTGGCCTATGGAACTGTCACTATGCAGGTCATGCACCTGCTTTGTAAACATATCCAACCAAGGGGCTGGGGTTGTGGCTCAGCGGTAGAGCACTTCCTAGCATGTGCGAGGTGCTGGGTTTGATCCTCAGCACCACATAACAATAAATAAAATAAAGATATTGTGTCCAACTACAACTAAAAAAATATTTAAAAAAAAAAAAAAAACCATATCCAACCAAAACATGCCAAGGGTGTCTGTCCTACACATTCCTTTCCAAGGATGTGGTAGTAGAGGTACAGTCTTGGCCATGGCCCTTTCCCCCAATTTAGATAGAGTAAGGGGCTCTTGGCTATAACACTCCCACTGACTGGCTCCTGGCTGGGGTGTCCAGTAGGGACCCACTGTGCAGGTACAGTGTACATTGTTGTGGTGGGTCCCATTCCATCACCTTGGAGGCCCCCACTCCTAGGATCATCTCAAGACCAGTTCCTTCTTGCTGCAATGAAAAAAAAAAATTGTCAAATCATTATTGTCTATGGGTGAGCACTCTTACGTCCTACCTGTGCCTCAGCTGGCACATTACTGGCCCTTCTGCCAACATGAGCCCTTCTAACCTGACTTTCCTCTTGTAGGTTCCAGCTTCTTGGGGCCTGGACCCTTCCCGGAGTCTTTCCCACCCCCCACCCCCAGCACCCCAAGCCTTCCTGAATTCACCCCGGGGCCACCTCCCATCTCCTACCAGTCTGACATTCCCAGCAGTCTCCTGACTCCAGAGAAGTCTGCTCCCTGCCTCCCAGGCCAGGTCAGTGTGATATAAGGGATCCAGGGGATAGGGGTGAGGTCTTTCAGGGAGCCCCTTAGCTGCTTTAACATGTCTTCTCTCCATCTTCAGATGGCACCAGTGGGCCACTTGGACCCAGCCCATAATCCTGGGCCACCAGGGCTACACACCTCCAACCTTGGGGCACCCCCAGGTCCCCAACTGCACCATCCAAACCCTCCCCCAGCATCCCGGCAGCCCCTGGGTCAAGCAAGCTCAGGGTCTGTTGGTGAGCTGGCCTTCAATCCTGCCACAGGCGTGATGGGGCCCCCCAGCATGTCTGGGGCAGGGGAGGCCCCAGAACCAGCACTGGATGTGAGTACTAGGCCCTGTGGTGGGGAGCATGTGGGAGTTGCTGGAGTTGGCTTGTCTGTTGTCCTTGGGTCACTGCTTTGTAGAAGGGAAGACGGTGATCCTTCAGGGAGAGCCAGCCAGATAATGTCAACCAAATGCAGCTCTTATTCATGTGTTGAGTATCTGAAAGTTTCTGCTGCACTCCTTAGAATCTGGCTTGACCTATCTGCTCATTCAGTGGTTCTGCCTCTTGACACATGCATGGGTGGTGTGTGAACCCAAGCTCAGTGCATGAAAGACAGGGTTGACCATCCCTGAACCATGGTGGAAATTCATTGAAGTTCCACACGAAAAAGATTAGAACAAGCAGTCCAGAGCAGAAAATTCTAGGGGATTGAAGTTCTGCCATCTATATTCTGCCTGAGAATCACCTTGGGGATCCCCTTTTAGGCCTTTGCACCTCCATGTACAGTTGGGCCACCTTGGATGGGCACTCTAGTGCCTGGTAGTATTGAGCACCATGCCAAGAGCTATTTCTGACCCCAGAACAGCCTTTCACTGGGATATCTCAGACAACTGTGTAGGCTGTCAGTGAGGCCCAGTAATCCATCAGTAGATGAGGGGCCACTTAGCATCCTTGCTGGGCCTGGGAACAGGGCTTGGATGCAGGGGCAGTATGGCCACTTGGGCATGATGGGTCTGAGACCAGAGTTGCTAACATGTTTGCTTTGTCCTCAGCTGCTCCCAGAACTGACCAACCCTGATGAGCTGCTGTCCTACCTGGGCCCACCTGACCTCCCCACAAACAGCAATGATGACCTGCTCTCTCTCTTTGAGAACAACTGATCCTGTGTTAACCCCTGGCCTAGCAGGGACACACTCAGAGACATCACCACAGCCTGCCCTCCTCTCCAAGCCCCACAGAACACCTGGCACTCTTCCCCAAAATTCCTCATCAGATGTCCAGAACCAGGGTCTGCCACTGTTGTCCCCAGCCCTGAACTGTAGAAGCAGCCTGTGCTCTAATGGAGGGGCCCCTAGACCACCATCACCCTCCCTCCACCAGGCTCACTGCTACAGAATGGTTTTTGCTGAGGTGCCCTGTCCACCCACTGCACACACACCCTGTGCCCCTAATCTCACAGCCTTGCATCTTGTCCTTCCACCCTTGCCTGCTCCCACCCAGCCTGCATCTCGTCAAGCATTGACCCTTCTGTTTCCACTCCTTTTTGGGAGAAGAGTCGGGTGTGCAATTTGGCTGACTCTGTGTCCTTGGCCTGCAGCTCCAGTGGCCTGTGCCCTGCAGCCCCTGCTCTCAGAACCAAGCAGAATGCATAGTTCAGGGGCCTAGAGCTCTTGCCCAGCCAGCATTGTGTGGTGTGGGGTTCCTCCCTCCACCCTAAGCTTCAGGCAGAGGCTGGGGGTGGGGGAGCTATAAAGCACAACAATGTACATAGTGTAGAAACACTAACAGCTGAGAAAGGGAGGGGAAAGCTATTTAAATCAGCATGTTCCTCTGTTGTACAGCCAGCCCAGGCTTCCCTGTGCTTTCTGCCCTTCCCGTGTGCAGACAGCTGGGGGAGGGACAGTGCAGTGGGAGGAGACTGAGCTTTGGCTGGCTCAGGGTGGGCTCGCAGACTCAGCTCTGTGTGATATTTCTCCAGTGGGCTGCTCTCCCAAGTTCCCCTTTTCTGTGAAAGTGAAGAATTAGTACAGCTGTGTTTTTTAAAACCACCTCTCCATCTCCACCCTGTGGGCCCACACCCAGGTGGGGAGGAGGAAGCCGCTGCATCTGCTGGCTTGGGGCCTGCGTGTGCAATCAGGGCTCCTGACCCTGTCCTGTCTCCTGTCTTCAATCTCTATTAAAGGACTCCCTCTTGGTGGGCCTGAATGAGTCCCTCCTTCGTGCTGGGGGCACTGTGGTCTCCCTTGGGGACCAGGCCCAACCCACAGCTGGCTTTTGGTGCCCTACATCAAGCTCTGATGTTCTGAACCAAGCCTCAGTTATTCCTGCCCCATGGTAAATTTCCTTTTCCCTGGAATTTTCCAAGTTGGCTTCAGCTGGAGAGTTATTTTGTAAAGTGTCCCAGGCTTGCCTGGGTGACATTTGCCATCATGTCACCTTTCCTGGGTGTGTCCTGGGGCAGGGAGCCAGTTGTCTTGGGTGCCCCAACCCAGTCAGGGGGCCTGACAAGCACTAGGCTGTGTCCCTAGGAGGCCTCTCTTTGTTGCCGCCTGTGGAGGGTGCAGAGTTAATCCTGGCTACCATCTGCCCATGCAGTTTGGTAGGATCCAGGTGTTTCTTGTCCTGAGTCCTTCCTTCCCCCCCCCCCCCCAGGGCCATCCCATCTAGCAAGAGAAACTAGAACTGTGAGGGAAATAGGAACCCAGGGAGGAGGGGAGTGCCTGGTATTCTTGGCCAGCTGCCACAGCCTGTCTTGGAGGAGGTGCTTGTCTGGGAGCTTGGAGGCTACAGGGGTAGAAGGAAGGGAGGTGTCAGGATGGGAAGGTCCTCTGGCAGCTCTGAGTGCCAGTAACATTTGAGACTACACAGGTGGGCCTTCTTGACCCCTAAAGAGCCTTTGTTTCCCAGTTTGCCCTTTCAAGCCCTGAGAGCAGAAATGGAGAAAAACGTAGGAACAACAGTGGGCCAATGCCAGAGCTAAGAAAATGTGGGAACAGTGCTCAGCAGAGTCCCCTCAACTACAACCCATTCTGGGGGAGTGGGAAACAGGCCCCCCTTACTTGGGGTGCCACTTCATTGCTGTGCATCACCCATCCCCACAGCCTGTTGCAAGTCTGGGTGCTCCTAAGTAGAAGAGAGAAACCAGGAGACTGGGACCAGCAAGAGGCTGCAAACTACCCAAAAGTCCATCCTCAGAGGGTGGATAAGGGATTACTGTGCCAGAACATTCTAGACATGAACAGGTCCAGAAACAATGTGAAATAAAAGGTGTAGAAGCTCTAACAGTACAATGCCATTCTTCTAAAGCTCAAAATCAATATGAGTTGCATAGGATCTGTACATATGTACTAACAAAGGAAGGGAAGGGAATCCACACATGTTCACCTGTGGAGACGTGACAGGTGCACTCAGGGAAGAGCAAAGATGCTGGCGAGGCTCTAATCTTCAAGGTGAGTGGTGGCCTCCTGGATTTTCACCTGCGCTTCTCATGTCAGTATATTCCCATGTATGTGCTAAGTATATGCAGCTTGAAAAGAAGCTGACTGGGCCTAATAGAACCACCAATGTGAGGAAAACACATTTTCCTCAAGTTCATAGAGAATATTCTCCAAGATTGACCACGTCTCAATAATTTAAGAGATTGGAATCCTGTGTTCTTTGATGGAACAAAACTAGAAACTTATAGCAGAAAGAAAACTGGAAAATTCACAAATTATGAGAATTAACAATCTTTAACAACCAATCGTCAAAATCATAAGGGAAAATTTAAAGTACTTTTGAGATAAATGAAAACAAATTGGAACAGGATGCACCAAAAGTTGTGTTAAGGGAACTTTATACCTGTAAAATGCCTGTATTAAAAAAGGATAATGAGGGCTGGGGTGGTGGCTCAGTGGTAGAGCACTGGCCCAGCACATGTGAGGCACTGGGTTCGATCCTCAGCACCACATAAAAACTAAAAATAGTTTTTAAAAAGAGTGAGCCAGTTCAGGTGTGATAGTGCATGCCTGTAACCCCAGCCGCTTGGAAGGCTGAGGCAGGAGGATCACAAGTTCAAAGCCAGCCTCAACAACTTAGGCTGTAAGCAATTTAGCAAGGCCCTGTCCAAAAAAGGGGGGGGCTGGGGTTATGGCTTAGTGGTAAAAGTGCCCCTGGGTTCAACCCCTGAACCTAAATAAATAACAGCTCTATATCTCAAGGAATTAGGAACAGGACAAACTAAACCCAAAATTAGCAGAAGAAATGAAAATTAGTATAGAGAAAAGAAAAATTAGAATATAAAAAGTTGATTCTTTGACAAGTTTAATAAGCCATTAACTAGTAAAAAACAAACTTTTTTTTTCTTTTTTTTTTTTTTGCAGTAGTGCACACCTTTAAATCCCAGTGACCCAGGCAGTTGAGGCGGGAGGATTGCAAGTTGGAAATCAGCCTTGGCAACTTAGACTGTCTTTAAAAAAAAAAAATGCTGGGGGCTAAGGATGGCAGAAAGCCTACAAGTTCAATCCCTGGTACTGGAAGGGGTGTGTGTGAAGGGGGTGGCGACAAAAATAACTGGTCAGTGAAAGTGGGAGATTGGGGGTATAACTCAGAATGTTTGCCTAGCATGCGCAAGATCTTGGGTTCAATCAAAAGAAGAAAAAATGGAAATGGTAATACAAACTTTACAAAAAGGATTATAAGAAAATATTACAAACAGTTTTGTTTTTATGGTTCTGGAGATTGAATCCAGAGCTTTGTGCATGCAAGGCAAGCAGTCTACCAACTGAATATATCCCCAGCCACATGAACAGTTTTATGCTAACAAATAATCTAGATGAAATGGACAGATTGGTAGACAATGAAAAAACTGACCCTAGAAGAAAATCTGAACAGAGCTATAACAAAAACATAGACATGTTCATCAAAATCCTTTTAGGGCTGGGATTGTGACTCACTGGTAGAGTGCTTGTCTAGCATGTGCAAGGCATTGGGTTCGATCCTCAGTACCTAAAAATAGGTAAAATAAAGGTATTATGTCCAACCACAACTTAAAATTTTTTTTAAAGCCTTAAAAAATCCTTTCAGCAACAACAAAAAAAAACAGGACTATATGGTAAATTCTGCCAAACATTGAAGAACAGACAGCAGGCCTTCTCGAACTCTCAGACATTGGAGAGGAGGGAACACTTTTTAATTCATCTGGGAGGCTGGCCTCCCCTCTCACACTGCCACAATCCCTTCCACTGGGCCTCCCCTGCAGGGAGCAGCTTCCCACTCTGCTCCTTTAGCTTTACCCACTCAAAGGCTCCTTGCCACCTCCAAGCTCCCAGTAGCCATTGAAACAGTCTACATGCCAGCACTGGGGACCATTCAGGGCAGATCTGACCTAGGTTGGTTCAAAGAGAGGAGCCAGGAACTGGTGCTGTGACATACACCTGTAATTCCAGTGACTTGGGAGGCTGAGGCAGGAGGATCACAAGTTCAAAGCTAGTCAGCAATTTAATGAGGCCCCAAGCAACTTAGCAAGAACCTGTCTCAGACTAAAAAAGGGCTGGGAATGTGGCTCAGTGGTAAAATGCCCCTGGGTTAAATCCCTAGTACCCCCCCACACACACACACACACCAAAAAATAAATAAATAAAAATCAGAAAGTGGAATACATAGATGTGAAGTACAGTGGGGTTTGATATGTGCATACACCTGTGTTCCTGCCAGCCCAAACCAGGCTGAACCCCCAACCCTTAATTTTACTGGATCTTCAACAGTCTTGAAGTCAGTCTTAGGGTCTATTCCTTTTGTTAATACTTGTTGAAGCTTGGATTTTTAGATTTATTTTCATTTATCTGTAAATTATTCCTGTCTCAGCTGTGACTCGACAGAATTAATGGAAACCCCTTCCCACCCACCAACATCAGCTCTTCCCTGGTTAGGCCCTCCATTGCTCTAAGTCTTTCATGGTGTATTAACCAGGACTCTACAGGTTACAAGTGAGAGTGGCTGATTCAAACCACTTTAGGAAGGAAGGGGCTCAAAATAACAGTTCTGAGCCAGGTGCTCACGTCTGTAATCACAGCAGCTGGGGAGGCTAAGGCAAGAGGATCACAAGTTCAAAGCCAGCCTCAGTAATGGCAAGGCGCTAAACAACTCAGTGAGACCCTGTCTCTAAATGGAATACAAATAGTGTTGGGAATGTGGCTCAGTGGCTGAGTGCCCCTGAGTTCGTTCCCTGGTATCCCTACCAAAAAAAAAGTAACAGTTCTGAAAGGGACACTAAAGGCCATAAGGACAGGTGAGGGGGGCAGAAACACCTCTGGAAAAACCTTTCAGCCTCTGTGTAAGCTTCATTCTCACACAGCTGCTCTGTGTAGTTGGGGCCTGGGCTTCTAAATCCTACTTCTCATTAATGCACTCAGATCCTGACTGTCACTCAATCTGATTCCAAGGTGAAAATCTCAGGAATGGGCTCTGGTTGGCTTGCCCTGATGGGCCCAGCTACAACTTGAGTGGAGTGGGGAGCACTCGCCCAGGATGAAGAACTGTTAGAAGAGGGAGTACAGGAAGCCTCCCATGGTCCTTAAGATGAAGTCTCAATTTCTGGCCCCTGCCAGTTTCAGGCCTCCCCAGCCCCAATACTGAAAATCTCGGTGTCTTCACCTAGTTCAGGCTTTGGTGGACCTTTCTATCCTGGGGAAGGCTTCTGCTTCTAGAATATGTGGGACCTTCTGCTATAGCCTCATTTCTATGAACCACCTTTCACAGTCCTTGCTCTGACAGATTAAATAGTGACATGATTATTTTTTCCAACTTTTTTATTTATGAAATGTACCTTTGTAAAGTCAAAAAATAGTACAGGGCTCGGGTTGTGGTTCAGCGGTAGAGCACTTGCCTAGAATGTGGGAGGTTCTGGGTTCCATCCTCAGCACTGCATAAAAATAAATAAATAAAACAAAGGCATTGTGTACAACTACAACTAAAAAATAAATATTAAAAAATAGTACAAGCACACACATTACCTTGAGATGCTGCAAGTGTTACTATTTTGCCACATTGTTCTTTGTTCTGGGCTCTGCCCCAGACCCATGTATATTTTTTAATACACACGCTCACTTTTTTTGTTACCAATTTAGGAAAGTAAGTTGCAGGCAAAATAAACACTTAATCTCTAAATAAATTTAGCATGCATCTTAGAAAAGTAAAGATGTTCTCATATTACCA